GTTTTGAAATCAGTCATTATCAGGGCAATTATATTGCGTGCTTATTTTGATTCATAAACTTTCCTGTTGCTCAGATGACCGTGTTTCGGCTCGGTGAGAATCAAAAACAAGACGTTGATCACGCTATTCTGACGGCTCTATTGAAAGGGCAGAATCTGTCGGCACCGGATCAGCTGGCGTTGGCACTTGCATGGAATCGTGTCGATATAGCGCGTTCGGATATTTTCGTTCTTGGGCAGGTGAGTCAAGCCAATACTGTACTTTCCAAACAATTATTGCAATGCATTGATAACCTGGCTTCTGCATTCCTGTTTGTCTTTAAATCGGAAGCAGTTTTTTTCCATTTAAGCCAACATTAAGTACTTCACAACATTATATCTCTTGAATTTCAAGGATTGGCCTAAAGCCGCGTTGAATAACGCAATGATGGAGGCACTTATAAACGATCGAGTTGATTTCGTGCGATTGTTAATTGAAAATGGTGTCAGCATGCACAAATTCCTTACTGTTAGTCGTCTCGAAGAACTGTACAATACGGTAAGCTATGCTCATATTGCTGCTGAAATTGACGAAGGGTTATTCCGAACATTCAAAAATGCACATATATAACCGACTGACAAACATTTCTTTCGTTATAAAGACATTAAAATGCAACGAATTCGAAATGAAAAAAGTGATGCGTCACTGAAAGTGGAGCATAAAAAAGTTACATGCTATATAATAATCGTCTATAACTTTTCTGTCAAAGTACTCATTTGCCATATTATAGATCTGAAACCAGTAATATTTCAAATTCACAGTAAATGTGAGTTACCACTCGACACAGATTGATTTTTGAAGGATCGTGGTCCGCCGAATACTTTATATTATATTGTGCGTGATGTGGTAAAAATACGGCCTGGCTATCGCTATCGCATTCCGCACATTGGTCTTGCCATTGAGAAATTGATGGGAAATGGCTTTAAATCGTCGTATACCTCAGACTCGTTTCGAGCAAAATATTCATCGTTTCGGAATAAAATTAAGGTCGGTGAATATTAGTGGCTGGCATCATAATCTGAATATCAGCGTATCTTAAAACGGTTCATTCCAATAATCACTGAATAATGCAATCTGGAATAATGCAATATTACTACTGTATCTACTGGATTAAACCTTAGTAAAGAACCATAGAAGTAAATTGATACTGATGCTGATGCCTCTGACGCCTAAATATGGTGAAAGTATAATTTCATTATAATACCGTGAAATTCGTATTGGTATTATAATACTGTCAAATCCTTATTGGTATTGTTATTGGTATGCATGAAGTAGTTGCGAATGATAATTATTCCAGCTGATACGTAAAAAAGAGCGTCAACAAGTCTCGAGAACTTCAGCGTCATCGGAGAATTTCACTGGGTTACCAAGTGTGCCACTCACTTCAGACCCAGCTTTGGCCGATACTGTAATGGCGGCTCTCTCAGGGAGTCGTGCACTCAGCAATCACATTTTGTGGAGGTCTGCATTTAGACGAGATGTAAGTCGTGATCATTTTATTTGAAACTAATTGGCGACTTTCAATGAATCGGAAATGTTTCATATTTTGTTGAAAACTTTTTTGTTGAAATTCGAAAGAATATTTTTGTTTCTATTGATTCGCTTGCAGAATCCGTTGAGCGGGTTGAATTCTATGTTACCGCCTCAGCTGAAGGATACCAAAGATACAATCGTCGATATCGATGACGGTTCGATTCATCTTAATTATATTTCTTTCGTTCTCAGAGCTATTATACTTTCACGTCGTTTACCATTTTTGAATGAAACATACATTGTTGTCATTAAAAACATGAAAAATTGTGCGATTTTATTGGAACACCAAACTGTCACTTCTATTCTTTTCAGATATCCATTTGCAACTTCCTCTAGTAAGCATTTGCATTGCATTGACAATCTTGTTTGTTTGATATACTCAACTCTCTTGCAGATTCTCCTGATCTGACATTCGAAGAGCACGACGATGATTTCCGTTATCCATTCAGTGAATTATTCCTATGGGCCGTTCTAACGAAACGTCAAGAAATGGCTCTTTGTATGTGGCAACACGGTGAAGAAGCTATGGCTAAAGTCAGTTTTTTGATTCTATTTAAGTTAATTGAATAATCTTTCTGATTTTGAGCTTTTTGTTGTATGAATCTTGCAATTTAATAACCTCTCCGTCACGAAGATAAACCAAATTCATTTTTTGGATTTAAGTGATATAATTTGAAATATTCTGTTGATTATGGAAATCATTTTGTTCACATCTAACGGATTGACAGTTTTATCCTATACCCATAGTTATGAGTGCGTTTGATCTTCATCAGATAGAATATGCCACTTTTATCGAGACATGCTCTTTAACAGGCTCTTGTCGCATGTCGACTTTACAAAAGTTTGGCTCAAGAAGCAGCCGAAGACTATTTGGAAGTGGAAATTTGTGAGGAACTGCGTCAGTATGCCGAGTAAATTACTTGATAAATTACGCAAATGCTTCAGTAACTGATAAACTTGTAGATTTTCATTCACATTGGATGGTCGTATTGCAGTTCATCATTTTTGTTTTTATTCAGTTGAACTCATCCACATTCACATTTTAGATCCGTTACGAAATTGTAGTTTAGAAGGGTTATTTTCTAAGTTTTTTGTGAATGATGTCCATATTAAAAAGAGGAAGTCATATGCAACATTCGAAAGAATATATTGCTCAGCACAGTGTCTTTAGCCTTTTGAATTCATTTGAACGTTGAAGTTTATTCGCCATCTGTTGACTGATATTGTTATGAAGTGAATTCGTGAATTTTATTCGTGATTATCAGATTAATACTCGCATAATGAAGTTGTCAAATTTCAGTGACTTTAAGAAATTATCGCTGGAATTATTGGAGCATTGTTATCATCACGATGACGCTCAGACTTTGCAGTTGTTGACGTATGAACTGTCGAATTGGGGCAATGAAACTTGTCTTTCGTTAGCCGTCATGGTCAACAATAAACAGTTTCTGGCTCATCCATGGTACATTCTTCTTTTCCACGATCTTCTACGAGAATTAATTCATTCATGCTTCCATCTTCAAGGCGATAAATTTCATCGTACAATCATGAGAAAATTCTGTGATGAATTATCAGTCTGTAAGAGAATACTAAAAACCAGTTTTTTATTGACTAATTTGTTTTGCAGTTGTCAAATTCTTCTCGCTGACCTATGGCATGGTGGTTTACGAATGCGAAGGTATTCGAGTTATTTATTTTGAGATTCCTTTCCTGAAAAACTGAAATAATGTATGAGTTTAGATAGGTCAAATTATGTTTTATAGCTTGCGATTGATTGAAAAGAAGCCTTCGTTGAATTGTGAGCGAATCGGTTTTTTGCATTAAGAGTACTGTTCCTTTAATAACAGTAATTTCGTTCAGTTAATACCATATCAGATGAATCACGTTTATGAATTTCAGTCACTCGAACCTAAAAGTAGTTATGGGTTTGCTGTGTCCACTAACGATATTTTTGCTCGAGTTCAAGAGTCGTGAAGAGCTGATGTTACAGCCGCAGACGGCGGCTGAACACGAAAACGATATTAATGATAGCTCGAGCTCGTCCAGCTCAAGTTCATCCGAAAGTGATTCATCATCTGACTCCGACTATAGTTCAGATGAAGATTCGGCGCAGGTATGAGAATGAAATTATTGTCAAAGCGTTATGAAGAAACCACTTGCTCATTAAAATTCTGGAGATTTTTAAACATTTTTTCGCTTTTAATCAGAAAGTATCTTTTGTTAATTGATTTTTAGGGTGATCAGGATGCAGAAAAACGCAAGGTCTCATCGGGCAGTGTTCAGTCGCTTAATCTGGCCGGGGTACTGATATTGATGCTGATTTTTCGTTTTCTTTATAAAAACGTTCAGAAACACCTATATTTTAATGTGTTTCTCTTTTCATCCACATTCCTCATAACTAACAATGAGAGATTTCATCGAATCGAACAAAAAAATTTCTGTTTTCTGCATCGCAAACATGACTGCAGAGTGCAAATTTTCTTGACATCTGTTAACGATTTGATTGTAAGATTTGTATTGTACGATTAAGATTTAATTAAAATTCGAATTATAAGATTAATTTAATTGTAAGATTTGTAAGATTTCATTTCATTAATTGTAAGGTTTCAATTGAAATTTCACTGAAGATTATCAATCAATCCATCAATCCAAATGCATTCACATTTCAGTTATTTCAAAGTCGTCGTAAGCGTGGTAATAAGCAAAATCGAGACACCAATCCTCCGAACTCGTCACAAGCGCTCAGCGTTGATGTTGAGACCGGTAAAGGGCCATCAGCTCAGCAAAAAGGAACCTCGGAAACGCTTGGCTCTGAACTGCAACCAACCAAACGAAAACGTACAGTTTCAATGCAAAGTACACACAGTCATCAGTTCTTCTCTGGTGCAAGACGAGGTGTGTCCAGGCAAAGTTCTACGAATAAAACTTACAAGCGTAAGTTTGTCAGTAAATTGCTGAACGACGTGCCAACAGATCGTCTTTTATAAGTTAGGCAGGCGCATATCGTTGAAGCAATTGAATTGGATGTTCTTTCATTATTGAGATGGTGATCATAACGTGCGATTTGCACCTCATTTTCAAAGCGATTCCATGAAATTTTGAAAAGTTTCAAAAAATTTATTTCAAAAAATCAGAAGTCTTTTCTTTTTTTCTGAAGAATGACAAACAAAATGATGACATTCGTGTGGGATTTTGCATTCAGAAACTCTTTACCAATTAATCTCATTAAAGGAACGTCTCAGTAGTTTTTTGAAGGAACTGTTAAATCTCGTTCGAAATTTCATAGCTGATGCAGTAGTCTTAGAAGCAGACGCTTGCTCAGCGGTAATTGACATGCAATGATGAGACGATCGTATCTTCAGATTACCTTAACTTGATATAGTGCTTAATCTATGCAAATGAGGTGTTGTTATCATTCAGATGAGCATCACCACCGTCATCACACTGATAATACGTCGTTATCGCACGTTCCCAACGGTGTCTGTCCACAGCATACTTCCGGTGCAGCTGCAGTTCATCGTAGATTTGCCAAATCATCGAGCGGCAACGAGCTGGATTCACCCAATAAAAATGCCTTCAACACTGTCTTCAGTTTAACCGCTCAAGCTTTACCACGAACAGTATGTTTCCATTTTTTTCGTCGCCGTCACCTCTTTCATTTTCCGGATATATGAATTTAAATTATCGCATCGAATTCAACTGAATCAAAATTAGAAAGCCTTCATGGTAGGGCTTTCATGAAGAGATATCAGGGTGATAGTGAAGGTTGGTTAAAGAAGATACGATCGCAAACAACAAGCACTATTTGAAAACGTTGAATATCAATGTTCATTTGTCACCGTTATTTCCATTTGAGCGTCCAATCAAAATACGGCGAAGACTATACGAATTCTACGTAGCTCCAGTGACAACGTTCTGGGCATGGACATTAAGCTTCAGCGCGTTCATCTGCTGTTATACGTATATTCTTTTGATCAGAACCCCGATTGAACCGACCGTTCTGGAATGGTTCATATTCGTCTATATGATTGCGTTCGGATTGGAACACGTTAGAAAGGTTTGTTTTTAAGATTCATTTTGTATTATATTAACATGGTATTTTCCTCTGTTTGTGACTAATATAGGATATAATTTTATGTTCAAAGTATCTTAATAGTTATCGCAATTGAGATAACATCAAATTACTGATCACTTTGGTGATATGAATCACTTTATCGGCGAGAGATCTGGCGATGAGACTCTGCGATAGTTTATTGATGAAATCATTTTAGTATTTGATGACTGATCAGGATACACTGTTGGAAAAGTCTAAATTTTTCTTTACGAATATATGGAATATTCTAACGACAATAGCCCTGATAAGCTATTTTATTGGATTTTGGCTTCGATTGAATCCATCAACCGCGTACGTTTCGTTTTAATTTAGTTTTAAACTTATTTTCATTGTCATTAATTGAATCGTTTGTTTTGATTGTTGGTAACATGTTTAAAATATATCTTTCGATTTGAAAGATATATTTTAAACATGTTACCAACAAAATTTAAAATATATCATTTTTGTCTTGATTTCGTCGGTTGCAGTGCTTCATGGGGACGGGTGATACTGGCTTGTAACTCGGTGCTGTGGTCAATCAAGTTACTCGACCTAATGAGTGTTCATCCTAGAATGGGTCCGTATATTACGATGGCTGGAAAAATGGTATCAAATTTGTGTCTTTTTTTTNTTTTTTTTCATATTCGAATGATCAACAATAATGGTTCTTATCTATTCATCTTTAAATGAAATATCTCCGAATATTAAAATTTTTGTTACGACAAAGATATATGCAAAACATCATAGAGCTGAAGATAATACATTGCGATATTCTAAAGCAAGCGATTATCGAAAACGTACGTCTGTGGAGGATTAAAGGCAGTGGTTGATTTCAGATCCAGAATATGGTTTATGTCGTGATTCTGCTGTGTGTGACGATGCTTGCCTTTGGTCTCGCACGTCAATCAATCACGTTTCCGAACGAGGATTGGCATTGGTTGTTGCTAAGGAATATATTCTATAAACCCTACTTCATGCTCTACGGAGAAGTTTATGCGGATGAAATCGATACGTGTGGTGATGACGGTTTGTTCTGGAGTTCTTAGTGCCACACAATTACTTCCTTAGATCCTGACTGCCACCATTCTAGTAGTCTTTCTGAGTCTGCAGTAATTTTTAATATTATTGGATTTTATGCCTTCTATTAAGAGATTTTCTCTGTGTTTTTGTTCAGTTGATATTTGAATAGGAAATCGATGAGATTCTACCGATTGTGAGCAGTATTTTTGCCTTTTATTAGAGAGCGTTCTGTGTAACGTCACCAACCGCTCTTTGAAATTTTCAGCATGGGACATTCATATGGAAGAACAACTGCCTATTTCCCAAGTGCATAACGGCTCATATGGTTGGTGTTTGGAATTGAAATGTTGACCAATCCTATTACATACTCTTCATCGATTTGTTGATTGAACTTACTATGTGAGAGTATCTTCGAAATTATTTCAGCATCGCAGTGTGTGCCAGGCTATTGGGTGCCACCCTTATTAATGACAGTGTTTCTGCTCGTTGATAACATCTTACTGATCAGTATGCTTCTCGCTATATTCAAGTTTGTTTTTTTGTGTTAATCGTCTGCAACCTTCTTTCGAAACATTACGATTTTAGTTGAAATCGAAATTGATAAGGTTTCTCTCGAATTTTCATGAGTTTTGAAATAGTTCAATGGAATTCTCTACTCGTGATTGGTGACGATTTGAAATTTAGCAATATATTCGACAAAACTGATAAGATGGCCAAGCAGATTTGGCTCTTCCAACGTTATCATCAAGTTATGGAATATGAAAGTACGCCGTTTTTGCCACCACCGTTCACACCAATCTATCACTTTTGGATGATTTGGAAATATTTACGAGTGAACAGGTGAGTATCTATTATCATTTACACAGTTATTCAGACAAAAATGGAAGGCAAACATCCTATATGTTGTTCGTATTAGACACGGATTGTAGCAGAAATCATTCATGTTGTTGATTAGAGGATTGATGGATCGAATTTTTAAGAAATGCATAGAAAATTCATTACAGGGGATGTCAGCCACAAAACAGTTCGAAGTCGAAAACGAATTTATTCGATTTCACATTGAGTAAGTTGCTTGAAATGTTTGTTTATCTCATTATTTGACTGTTTCCTTTCTTTTGCATTATTCACGTATCAACTAGTTCAATGCTTATTCAGAGTTATTCTTGAATGACGATCAAGTGGAGAAAATTCATGACTTCGAAGAGGATTGTATGGAGGATTTGGCACGCGAGAAAGAATTCAAAAAGAACACATCAAATGAAGAACGCATTCATCGAACTGCTGATCGGTTTGTTGACTTCGCTACTTGCAGAAATTCTTAGTGTTGTTTTTTATTAGCAGCTTCAAGAGCTTTTGACCTCATTTGGGAAGTTACAAAGAATACATTTTCAGAACGGATCAAATAATGGTTCGAATTAATGATCTGACGACAAAAGGATCGGTGATGAAAAGTAGTGTTCGAGAGCTGGATAATCGTTTGGAGTCGATCGAAAACCGACAAGTTAGTTTTGACTGTAGTTATGGTAATAGTGATGGTATTCATTCGATTGATACTTCATCGTAACTGATCAGATCACTGAATGCATTTTACATCTCGAAGACTGAACATATCTGTCGAATTCACTAGTTTCCTTTCAATAAATACGCTTCAATAAATGCTATTTTAGACTGAAATCTTGGAGTGCCTGCGTCAAATGGCTAATGCTATCCCGATGTTGATCGCCAAACCTACGTCCCAACAGGGAGCTGGAGGATCTCAGAACATTGCTCGATCACCCTCCGTGCCGCCAACAATAACAATCGATCAAGATTATGAGAAACAATCTCAGCATGAACAGAACGTGCCCATTTCATCACAACAACAACCGTTCGATAGAGCTCAATCCCCACTCTATTCTGAAACGGTGCGATTATTTTGGATATTCTAAAGCGCCTTTTCCTCTTGTCTCTCAGTAAATCCGCCTCATCAGTTAATACGAACAGATTGATTACACTTCAGCCATTTTACAAACTTTTCGAGTCTGTAATCTCCAAGTTTGACACATTTCTCTATACTTTGATGTGGAGTCATCTCTTTAGCTTTTAGTTTATATGAAATATTTGTTTTGCGATCATGTTGTATAGTGAATTGCTTATCTTCTCAACCAGAAATCTATTGTCCTTTACAGTCAGTGTTACCGAAATAATTTCAGCCTCCTGAACAACCAGCTGCGACGTCACTACCATCTGCCCCCACCGTATTCAAAGACCAATTCCCAGAACCCACTTCACGTAAGCTGCAAAATTTGTTCATTTTCTGTTCAGCCTTGATGGCCTTTTCTAGACCTCGAGTACGGAACTCGAAGCGTTTTGGTCGCGATTGTTTCGGTCTCTTTGATTGCTTGAATATCACCGATTACCGTTATGAATAAATTCGAGTTTGATTTGTCGTTTCAGAGTTAGTGAAGCGACGTCTTCGTACGTTAACGACAACAGCTTGTGATGACATTATACCAGTATCTCCGACCACTAAAGAAAGGTATCCGTGTGGTTTGCTTCTTGAAAATTTCATATGAGAGCTTTAAGAAAGTTGACCCAATATTTTCGTCTATTGCTATCATTTTTGCATAGTCTGTTATGTTTTCAGGTTGACGCATTTTGGAAGTTTGATTTCGTTAGATCCGAAAATATTGAATCAAATGACCAGTAGTCCGAGTAATCTGGCTAAGAAACGTAGTAATTGGTATGTAACAGATTATTATCCTCACTGTTTTTTGTTATTTCGGAAATATTTCTACTCTCGAGTTGACTTTTGAATCAATGTAACTAATGTGGTTTTTTAGTGGAAGTATTCGAAGACCACGGCGTCACGATGAATACACTTCGATAACAGACGCGATCAGTATAGTTGATATTTTACCAGAAGCTACGAGCCCGAATGATGAGGTCGGTAAGACAACGAAAATGGTACTAATAACTTTGTATTAAATTATGTTATTGGTGGTACTTGACGTGAGTGTAGATGAATGACAATGTTAATGATACTGATCCAGATGCAGTTAGCAAGCAATATGTCATTATCAAACGTTTATAACGTTGATCTTATTATTGTTACTTGGATATCGAGTAGTTGTTTTGTCAATCGTCGTGAGCCATCGGCGGAATATTTATTTAATTAGAGTAATGATTATTTATTGAATTGGTATTTGACTGCGTTTAATTATGCAAAGTGTTCACGGCGACTAATTATTTACTCGGTTATGTTCGCTTGGCCTGCTCGCCTAGCCAGCGGGGTGGCGTAAATTGAGGCTAAAACAATGTGCACGGAAACGCGAGCACTGTGGCCAGCAACGTTATAAACGTTTGATAGTCTGGCCAATCCGGGTAACGTCATTATCAATGTTGCAGATAATATCTTGTGATGAACAATCGACTGGCTGTTATCACGCCACTGAAAATGATGAATTGGTTGATGAGGACGACGAGGAGACTCAACGACATTTTGATGGTACCTCCACGCCGATAACCACTTTGAAACGGGCCAAGAAAAGTTTTGTTCGACGTCAAAATAGTGTGTTGAAAGAATACGAAGAGGTAGTCATATTTGTTGCTTATTCCTGAATATATAATCTGTTTATTTTTTGAACTATAATTTCACTGTGTAGCGCTTAGAATATCAAATTCATTAGTGATCAAATGCATTTTACTTCAGTCAAATGCAATTACATCAGTGATATAGTGTTTGAAGAAGTGAAGATCGTTTTTAGAAATGAATGCCATTTAGATGTAAGCACATAATAAAAGTATTATAGGAAAGCATGCCAACTGAAGCAATTGCTATCAACTAATTGGTTAAACATTCAATTGTTTTATTTGTGTCGCACAGAAAAAAATGACATGAAGGTACATTGCGATTTACAAAGAGTGCATTTATTGTGTCAATTATAAACAGTGTTAATTTGTACTGAATTTAGGAATTGGCTGAACGAATGCGTGATGCGACGACCATTCATCGGAAGTCGAATGATGTCTATTCGACTCTTCAAAAGCAAATCGCACAGACCGAAGAAAATGATGGTGATGACGAAGAGTTGGACACTGGCAGTTTAACGGAACCGGAGCTTAAAGATCTGGTCGATGACGAAGAAGACGAAATCAACTCCAGCAAGGTGAGGGTGATTGGTGACACGACACTAGTGCTACTCTTACAGTTACCTCTGTAGTTCGCGTTGTACTTTTGCTGTGTAAAAACTTTTTTGTTCATTTAATAGCGCAGAATGCACGTATATAAGTACGTGAGGGGTAAAATACCTTCTCGACGACGATGTTTTGAAGGATTGTTGGTGGTTCATTCGTTTTGAGATGAAGTTTTCATTCAAAACAAAAAAAANAAAAAAAATCATGTATTCCTCTAAGATTCGGTAATTGTAGCTTTTGCTTTTGAGTGAATTGTTCACTTGTTTTTGATGAACACGAATTTACGAATGGAATTTTATGCGAATGCAGTCTGACCTTCTCTGAGTGAGTTTCAGGAATATATCGAATTCTCTGTGTCGAAACACCCCGAAAGCGAGTCGATCAGTAGTTCAGTGGCTCCCTCAAGAAGTCCATCACTTGGAGGCAGGAAAGGAAAACATCAGACCAGGCGGACTACAAACGATCCTACGAAGTCGTCATCAAGAAATGCCCATTGCAGTCTAAGCATAACATCACCCACACCTCGATCATCCTCGTCAAACAGTAGTAATGGCAATAATACTGCTCGAGACTACGCTACACCTCACCACCATGATCTATCCTCATTTACAGCACCACACGCACACAAGAATGCTCCGCATCATCATGCCTCTCCGTCTCATCATCATCATCATCATAAATCTTCTAATGCGAATAATAAGAAACAATCAGGTTTACAACATGATCAGATGGTCAGTCATGTTTGAGCACTGGCAATGGGTACCATCACTGTGCGTTCATACGTTCGCAAGTCAATGTCTTATCCTAAGCTACTTAATTCAAATCCATATCTTTTATGTGCAAAACTAAATTCGCTTATGATGGGATGGATATTTTATCGATCATTTTGATATACTCATTTGCATGTTCCTTGTTCATTCATCTTATTGAAGATGTTCGCTCAAAAAAATCAGATCAGAGTGCATCTGATCGATACATCTGATCAAAATTGAGGTCAGTGTGGTAACAGAATTTTGATTCGTTGTGCCAGTGGTTGAATCACTCTGACGAGTAAATCGAATCAGTGCCTTTTCATTGTTGTTATATCGTCTATAACCTCTGTCTTCTGTTCATAACGTGGCAGTTATCGTTTCGAGTATCTGAAATCAAAATTCAGAATATTGTTGTAAGTGTGGTTGTTTTTGTTATGATGATCTGATAATATGGTGTGTTGATGTGTTATTATCACCATCCATATTTGATATTTCCTTCGTCTTACTTTCCAGATGTGATATACATCGTCGTTTGTTATTGCGCATTGTTTTCGCTGAAAATCTTATTTATTCACAATGAAGATTGTTGTTATATTGTGTTTGTTATGTCACTGCGTCATTGCACAAATTCATTCGTATCGTTTGTGTTTTTCTTATCGAATCATTTGCTTATTTCCGAGTACGGGTTCACTTGGCTATTTTACATTATATTATGTATTTTTTGTTCATTCGTTTGCATTCAATCTAATTGTTGCTGAACAATTGTGATACTTATTCGTTATATTGCAGTGTTATTCATGAAAGAGATAAAATCATTATTTTCTACCATCTGCCACTGTTGAAATTTCCACTGAAAATGCATCTGCACAAAATACGTGAATATGTGTGTGCATCGTTTTTCGAATGCACTTTCACTGAATCTATAATTGTTGCGAAGAACACGAGTCAGTGAAAATATCAGCGAATTGTTCGTCATCACAATCTTTTTTTTTGTGCATTCATTCGTTCGTTCATTTCTAGTTTGTGATCAATTAGTTGAATTCAGTTTTATGCTTGCATATGTGCCGTCGTCGTTCAATTCAAGACCACTTCCTAGTGTGTTGTTTGTTGGTTGTTTCTAATCCGTATCTGTGTTCGAAATGTGGATTGCTTAATCGGATTGTCGCTATCCTTAATTCTCTTCTCTTCTCTCGCTCTCAATCAATCATTCCACTTTCAATTTCAATTTTCACCAACCAACCAGTATTTATAAATTCCCAGTCGAACTAGTGCAATTCAAGGTCATCAACATATTCAAATACGATCGTTTCGTTGCTGCTTTGTTATTATTATTATTACTTCGTTTCCTTTTGTTCATTTCAGTTTGTTTATTTGCGTATTCTGGATCTCGCATATCAATAAGTTCCTTTGTTGCCGAACAGTATTGATCCCTTATCAATGATCACGGTCTGTTGTTATCACATTCAAAACGTCATTGAAATTCATTGGTTGTTTTTTGATCATTGAACAAGATCACAGAAATCCTATGGAACCGTCTACCCGAACCTCTGCTAGTCTCGTTTGTCATACGTTCGAAGAAGAACTATTTCCAGAAAAAGAATTTTTTCATTCACTCTAACGGGATCTGCTTTGCCTAAATATGGTCCACTGAGTCCTTAACTTATCTTTTAAACTTGCTTTATTGAAGACTCTTGTTGTTAAAGTCATTCTATTGCTATTGCTATTTCCTATTGCTCTGAGACGAATGAATGAATGTTCACTGAAAATTTTTGTTTTTTCTTCTACATTCGAACATTTCATTTTCCCAGAGGTTATGAATCCCCAGATTTTCTTAGTACCATCAAATCTCTGCTTTTTTTTGCTCACACCAAGTCTTGTCAATATTTTAAGAAGCTTTCACAAAAAGATGAATGTGTTCGTTTTCAATAATTTATAATATGAAGTTAGTTGTCACAACTCTTGGAAGTTTTAAATCTCATAGCTTTATCCGATGTATGTGAAAGGCATGCACAAGGCATGTAACGAAACAAACTTCACTATCATCCAACATCAGTGATATGAATAAAATTTAAGTGTCTATTCTCGTACTTTGCTCATAAACACTGACTGATTGATATATCATCTGATCAAGAATATACTGAAATTTGATGTGCGACAGTTTCAACGAATTCGGTCGCTGCTGTTCAACGGAGTTGTTGATGAGTTCTAAAAATACGGCTCGGGGAAAAAGAACAGAACACTTTTGCACGTCGTAACTTTGAATTGTGCAATTTGCACATTTTTTCATATTCCGAATAATTCTTTCAATAGATGATCGACTTCATATGATTAAAATTTGTATCATGCCGATGCTATGCATTAACATTGAAATTCATTTGTTTGTTACTCTTTGTTCAAGATTCACTGCTTGCAATAGCACAAACTCTTAACTGCCCTCTGTGACTNACTTTATTGTCTCCGATCAATACCAATGAAACAATCGAATTTCACTTCTTCGCAATATGTTACCGCAAAGGTTCCGATCGACCAGTTAGAGTAGTATAAACTTAATATTCAACGAATAAATGCCGAAAGCTTTAGCATTAATGTAAGCGTAAGGTCAAAGTCAAATGTAAGCAAATTTCAGCTTTAAACTAAGCCTCAACTTGAGCTCAAGCCCGATCGATCTTTCCAATTCTAGACACATTCCTGTCAGCCGATAAAAATAATGAAACAACCAAAAAAAACAGTGATATTAATCTTAGTTGAACTTCAGCTTCAGAGCAATCACATCTAACAGATGTATTTACGACGTATCAAAGAATCTTTTTTTTGAGTGCTGCTTCATTCTTTTGGTTTGGTTTAACACGAGACTATTCATCACACAATAAATCATCCAATTGGTCATCGTCACTTTTTTTATAAGAAAGCAACGGATTAACAAACGAAAAAATATCAAGCCAACAAATCATCACAATGAATTGATAAAGCAAGCAATTTGTCGATATATCCACCAATAATCTATCTTCAAGCTTAATTTGTCTGCATATTCGCTGTTCCTTCACCTTCATCGTGCAGTCCATTAACTATCACCTCATCAATCCAACATTCCGTTCTTTCCAACCACCCTTCCTTATCTCAATTCCTCGCCAATCAAAAATCAGTCTCAAACTCAAACTTTGCACTAACAACAGTCAATGATAACTCAAAGTTTCAGCTATCAAAAGTCAAATTAAGAGCCAAAGTTTGATAAATTAGTTGCTAGAGCCCTCAAGAAGGTTGTTAATTGATTATCGGAAGAGTCATCGAAACACTGAATAGCTTTCCTTAAACTTCAACAATCTCTAATCGTTTTCAGGCATTATTTATCGGAACCAAGAACNCTCAGCAGTAACACTAAACTGAGTCAGAGGAGACCAAAATTCAAAGAGATCAACCAGATTGATTTGTTGTGAGATCTATTATAACTTATAGTTTATTCAAATCCATCGCATGGAACACACTGGTTCATCTATGAAGACGGGTAAACTAAGGTACGTTATTTACCGAAGTCTTAAGAATATGATTTGGAAATCGACCACAGAACGCCTTTTCTCCATGACAATGAGGCTGGCTTAGTTTAAGTTGAAGTGCTCGAAAATTTATTAAACGCAACATCTTATCAGTCAATAAATTAATCTCCTATGAATGCCTCTTCACATAATCAATTTTAATCAATTGATCAATTCCTCTTCATTTCCGTGCATCACATAATCAATTCTCCTAAGAATGTCTCTTCTTGAAAATTCTCAATCAAACCATGCGAAACAAATGCATCATCACGAATCAGACACTGTGGAAAGATGTGAGCCGATAAATATCCCACTGTAATGGTATATTGATGAATATTCTAATTTTTTGAGGTTTCACTTATGATCTATACAAGAGGCACTCTGATCTGTTCGTTGGTTGATTGTGAGATTGATTGATATACTTGAAGCTGAACGAATGACATAAGACATGAGCAGTTGTTTGTGGTGATATAATTTTGTGCAGATATTTTACGAATGGTTTAGGAGGTGTACAATGATTTTATTCATAAAAAGTTATAAAAAAATGCAAGAGAAAGATGACAAATGTGAAGTACCAATGGTTCAGCGTANAAAAAAATGTTTGGCAACAATGAATTTGTGATCGCATAGTCAGTGTTGCAGAAGAGTTATGTTTCAAAGTCAGGGATTTGAAGCGGAGTTGATATAATTGTTGACTAAAAAGATTGCAAATCTCGCGTTTTTATATTGCAGTGATTGTTGAGTCCAAGTGATATTTTGATGGAACACAAATAAAAATCTCGTCAAAAAAGTCATCACGAGTTTTCGAATCAACTGACTCAAAGTAAACCACTAGAAATTTCAATTAAAAACCAGATCGAAAACGCGTAAGTGTGATCGATGATGACAGGGAAAGTGATGGAATACCGATGCGAAAGATCAAATTACAATCAAAATATGTTTTTTTACTGCTCACCATAATAGATATTCCATAATCATCAATGACAAAAACCTTCCATTAATAGTTCGTGCCATTATTCTCAAATCGGTTTAATTCTCAAAAACGCAAATCCCTCTCTATAAATTTATTGTGAAAGTAATGAAATTCCACAGTAACAGTGTGCAACAAAGGGTGACCAACAGAGAACAGTAAATTGAAAGCAATTTGTCATTTAATCATTTTATTAACGAGAGCAAATATAAATTAATGAAGTGATGATCAATTTTTAAATGGTTGATTAATGAGTGTAAATATAAATTTATGCGAGTTTTATTCGATCGTTGGACGTGATATGAACTGATCAGTGACCAATTAATCAAATGAGATCAGTTCAACTTTTGAATAATTGAAGTTGACAGTTAGCAAATTTATTGTAGAATTTCTTGTCGAGGGCATATGATTTACGAGAGTGATTTGCATCGATCAAAAAACTTCTGATTAGATAAATTAATTACGATACCATCTGCAAGAGCAATCATCCAATATGATGCAAATGAGGAGGCGTAATCCACCAAACGCACTCGACAGTGAAGAGCAAGTCCAAAACCAAGGCACCGCCCCGCAGTCGAACGCAAGATTTACTCCTTCTCCTCCACCTTCTGCTATTTCATCATCTGTTTCACACTCACATCGACAGTCCAGCCGATATCCTAGAGACAGAGCACCAGCTGCTGCCACCACTTCACCATCTCAACGTTCATTTTCTTTCAGATCTGCCCTCTTCAATTCAAGTAACCAACATATCCAAGGTAAATTCAACTTCTCTTCTCGAAATTCTATCATAAGTTTGCTTGATTCACAGCTTGACCCGGTCAACTTCTATTGATTCGAATGGGGCTAAACGATCCATAATGTTCGCGATTAGTTGCTGATATTCGAACATCGCTATGGCTTGCTAGCTTTTTGGATTTTATCTCCTTTGAGATATCGTTTTGGAGAATCGATTACATTCTGGAGAATTCGATTGAAAACATTGATCTGCAAAATCGAACAAAGTGCGTTTGCACGAGCGATAATCGAGTTTACTTGAAGTTTAAAGAGAATCGCTGTGTAAATTTCAAAATGAACTGCTCAATGCATATCTTCTCATCTAAGAAATACAATGGCGATTCACTTTCGTTAAATATTTACCCTCATAACCATAGCAATTACAATCAAACGAGTCCGCAAATAACGATGCATCTCTTTGTATTGCGTGCCAATAGCACAACAAAACGTATTATATTTGATCTTTTGTTCATTTGACTTTTTTTGAACAACAAATCTGGTTGAGTGCTACTCTTGAACAAATATTCGATCGATGTTTGAATATCTGACTTAAGATTTTCTCATTAAATTCAAAAAAATATTTTGTTGAGAAGATATTTTCAAGGGCGTTAAGATGACAACATTTATTGATAGATATGTCTTTTCTTTCAGACAATGACCACATTTCAATGCTTCTCTTGAGCTCCATCGCCCTTCCTACCCCAGAAATTCGGATATATGGGATGATCCTGAAATGCAGTTTTCAGATCCGTCTCAGTCCCTCCCTTATAATTAGTTATTCTTATGAAAAACTTATGGGCCACCACGAAAAAAGATTTCCCTTAACGGATAATTGGGTAAAATCGGATCAAATTTGATCAAATAATCACCACTTGATCCATGAATTCATCATCGCGGTTGGTCAACTGCACTGATCTTCAAGGATTTTCTAATTCAGTTGTTGAGAAAGATCCGGCCACATCAGAAACGCTATTGCAACACTCTGTAATGATTAATGACAAAGGGCACTCTGCGGTACGAGGCGTAACGCTTTCAAGACGGGGTCGACGGCACTGTTTATGTGGTATCGTCACTCTGTTGGTTCTGCTGGGTTAGTTTCTTCGTGAACTGCCTGATGAGTTTATGCTTGAAACCTTCAATACCCTCAAGACTGTGCAACTTCAAGGAGTTTTTGCTGACGAAAACATCGGATACAATATTAGATCATTTTATCATGCCTTCTGATGCTCTCGGAATGGTCTTCGATCAAGAATCTACGAACTTTCTTTGGGAGCCTCTGATAATTTTCTTTAGGAGCCTCTGAAACTCATAATTTAGGATGCAGTCAATTTTAATCTTAAAAGGATGCAGTCAATCACGGAAATGTCTTCGACCATATCTTGACTTGAGAGGAAATATCGCGTCGTAGCGGTCAGAAAAAAAATCGCTTATAAGCATTGCTAGAGGAACATTGTTTTGGGGAATTGCACACTTCCTCAAATTAACGCTATATCAAGTAACTTGATACGTTTAGGTAACTTGATTAAAGTTATCTAAACTTTTAATATCTTTTCTAAACCGTCTCATCACTTTGAATCCTCTCAATCCCATTCCACATTTCTAACTATCGTTAAGGCGCCGCAGTAATTCTCGCAATGTTCGGTTTTTATTTACGATCGTATAATAGCGAATTCGAAGAGAGCGCTGAAGCAAAACAATACATCAGTGAATTGATTCAGCAAGTTTATGAAGCCTCAGACCTTAAATGGAAAGTAAGTCACTCTGATTTTCACCTTTTGACATCACATTCTTATTGACCTCAAGACTATCTGATAGAGATAATTGCAGACTTGAATCTTATCAAGCCGGAAATATATTATTTCCAGATAAAATTTAATCCGTATGGAACAAAGAAACGGGATTTCAATTTCACCTACTATAAAAATGAAACAGCTATTCAAGAGTATTTGGATCATTTGACGAATCATTTGAATTCGGATCGAATGCAACAACATATCAGGTTAGATTTTGCAGCGAATTGAAACATGTTGAGAAAGATTGAGAAGTTTTCAGGGAATTGCTCGAGTTTCCAACTGAGAAATTGCCGTCGCATTTCGATGCCAGGGAGAAATGGCCTTATTGCCAGTCGATGTTCGATGTTCCGAATCAAGGCAGCTGTGGTTCCTGTTTTGTAAGTTTTAATGCGACTTGTATACAACTTCAAGGTGTTTTTGCGGACGAAAACATCGGATACAATATCAGATCATTTTATCACGTCTTCTGATGCTCTCGGAATGGTCTCCGATCAAGAATCCAAGAATTTTTTTGGGGAGGCGCTGATAACTGTGATCTGGAATTGTAGGAAAATGACCACTTCGTGAAATCTTCACTTCGGTGAGTCTGTTCTTGCAGAACTGAGAATTTTCCAGTGAAATAATTTTTCGAACATATCATATACAGGCCGTCGCAGCTGTTGGTGTAGCATCAGATCGTGCTTGTATCGCCTCGAATGGTACCGTTCAATCGTTATTCTCAGTAGAGGATGTCCTGGATTGTTGTTCGGTTTGTGGTAATTGTTATGGAGGTGATCCTCTCAAAGCTTTCGTCTACTGGGTTCTCGAAGGTCTCGTTACTGGTCAGTTGTGTCGCTATGAAAACACTACTCATTTCTTTGTTATGTACCACATTTCATGCCGAATACATCATGCTTCCAGTATCTTAAAGTTCTTTTCTTAAAATGTTTTATTCTGTTTGACTGATCAATTTTTACGTGAGATCTACTCAAAACTTGTTTATCTGTTTATACTGGGTTCACGAATTTCATAGAGCGGGATTTGTGAACTAATTGAATTTATACATTCTTCACTTGCAACATTGATAGTCTTTCGACGTTTATTTTGTAATAACACTGTCTTATATTATCGGAACATAAAGTATTCATATCATACAAACACAAAACAGAGGAGATCTTCCAAGCGAGATATACAAAAGTTACATTTTATCATATCAATCGGTAGTGCATGATATCCGTATACATCTTATACATNGGGTGTCGTCCATACACAGCCGATCTGTCATGTGGCATTCCATGTTCACCAGCCTACTATCCACAGACCGAGAGTAAACGGAAGTGTCGTCGAGAGTGCCAAAATATCTATTTCAAATACAATTATCAAGATGATAAACATTATGGTTGGCTGTCGCTCGCTTCATACAACTATCAATTAGTGCCATTTACTAATAATAGCAGTAAATGATGCATTTTTAGCATCACTCGCCTACTCAATGTATCCACGTTCAATGAGCCTGAATACGGACGGCTCTAAGCGGGCTGATGTGCCCACTGTAATTGGACAACTGAACGAAACAGCCGAAGAACCGTTAACAGATGAGGAGGTTGGTTCTCTTGATTCTCTTCGCGCTTCTTTCGAAATTATTAACAGACAAAACTGAATTTTATTACCCTCTTTTGCACTTCTTGAACGAAAGATGAATTCGGTCTTTCAAATGTAGTTTTCTGATATATTGCATCTTGAACGCAATTTATAACATCTGCACGATAGCATACTTATGCGAAATTTGCATCTTCTCCTATATACTTCTGAAGTTGAATTCTGAAGTATTATTCAGAAGTTTAGTTTTATTTTGCATTTGCAGGTTCGAACACTCGTCATGAAAGAACTTTACTTATCCGGCCCCACAACATTGGCATTTCCGATTACAGAAGAATTTCTCCATTATTCAAGTGGTAAGACTGGCAACTATTTCCATATTCCCTCATCCGTTGATCGTACCAATTTCGTTCCCGTGTTAATCAGTCATTTTGATGATCTTATCGTAATCACCTATGTCTTGTTCGATATCTTATTCCGATCAGGAGTTTTATCCGCTTTAAATGTCTGTTCGAATCATATTTGTGCTATCACTCGCATTGATTTGCTTTCATATTGCCTTCTGTGATCGAAAAATTCTTCTGTGATGTGAAAATATAAAGTAAACTCGTGGATTATCTAGTAGTTTATAATTACCGTCAGAGCAAGAATAATGAAATCAGTTGAAGTACTTCTTCCGGTTTCAGGTATATTTTCACCGTATCCTGTGACGAACATCTCAGATCGTATCGTATATTGGCATGTGGTCAGATTGATCGGTTGGGGCAAATATGATGGCGGAAAACATTACTGGCTGGCGATTAATAGTTTTGGGAGACACTGGGGAGAGAATGGTTGGTTTCGGTTCATTT